TGACGATTTCTTTAGTGGAACTCTCTGATGGAATGGAAGACTCTAAATCTAATGATGCAGGCTTCAGGCAATGTTACGATTGAGACAGTACACAAGATCGGACAGAGTGGAGTTACATTCATTAGCAGGTTATAGATAGAGCTCAAGAACTCTTTTCAAATCTGTTCTGGTTTTTTCGTGAGATGAAAACTGACAAATCGCTAATAATGCAGTGGAGCCCTGACGCATTCGGTGAAAGCATTGGACATATCTCTAAAGATCGATACAGAGTTAGCTCTTGAGGTCGGAAGAAGGACAAAACGAGCCTAGAAGAATGTAGAGGAGCAGAGTATCATCGTCTTCCTCGTATAATTTTACTCGCTTTTTTCCCGGGAAAATGATAATCAATAAGGTCAGAGATAATCAATATGACTAGAAATCACCCTTTGCGGGAATATAATAATAAATCTGACTTTTAACCTCTTAAGATTTGTGTTTCTGTAAATCGATTTGGTCTGTTAGATTAGATATGTTCGTGAGTTCATCTATCTTCTCTAATGGGATTAGGAGAAACAGAGATGTACAAAGTATACAAAATACTCATTGCTGCTTAGTCAACAACTATCCTCCATTGTTGTTGTTTTTCGCCTCTGATGATGAAGAAGATGATTTACCATTCAGTACATGTTTCAATGATTTCTTGAGTCTAATCAATCCTTCATTCCCATTTACACCTTGAACAAACAAGGCACACTTGGTTCTTCCACCTACGGTCATGATCTCAACTCTAACCGCCTTTGCATTCATGGCTTTCATCGACTCTGCAACCTCTGTCATTAAACCTTCTCTGTCGCTGCAACTGAACACGACTCTCGCCATGTCTTTGTTGTTACAATGACCCAATCTCAAGTTGTCTTCTAAAGCTGGTGTGGTTGGAATGTCCTTAACCATCTTTTTCAATTCATTGAAATGCCTAATAGTCTCTCCTAGCACAGATGCTTTATCATGCTGTTTAAACATAAAAAAAATGTTAATTCTCTGGAAAATAAAACATGTTAATATTTGTTTCTTGTGTAATTGAATGTTGATATAAACTTTACTTTGACCAAGTTTGGAAGAATGGTACGAAGAGTTGCAAATTGGCTATTAATCCGAGAGCGCCTTCTTCTCTCTGCGTCGCTATGTTTCTTTGCAGCAACTTCTTTAGATTCGGTTTTCGATTTTGGCTTTACGGCTAAAAAACTTCTGGAGAATAGCTTGCTGCTTGTTGTTGCACCAGTGAAGAAATTTCTTCCCATTGTTGTTGAATATGCAGTTGGATTGTAACACCGCGAAATCGGACGTATCCCTTGCTCTAACTGTGTTGAACACAACACAAGAAACAAAACAACAAAGATTAAAAAGACTTGATTCAGAGACGAAGAAGAAGCATGATTGATCAAAAAGTAAATAAACAGAGAGACTCACATGTTGAAGTAAAACCATGGTGATACAAAGAGAATGAGAAGTAAACACAATGGAGGAGAAATGTTGATTTGTTGTGTTGTGTGTAAAAAATATAAAGACACAAAAACATGCAACAAGAAGAAAGATATGGAGAACATCTCAAATGTAATAAATTGGTGATTTAATGGGAAATATGCACGAGAATATATTGTTATAATATACAAAGATTTGAGTTTTCACTTCATACATGAAAATCTGAAGGAGAAAATACCTAACACAGAGATTTGAATAAAAAATGAATGATCTCAACAGAATCGAAATTACAAATGATTTGATCATCATGGTCTTCCTCGTATAAATTTATATTCCCGGGAAAATGATAATGAATAATAAGGTGAGAGATAAATGACAAGAGAGACATTGATCAATCTGTCTATAAATGAAAAAGTAATAAACTGTGGCTAAAGAGTACAAAGACATGGATGAATATTGAATAGCTTTCTCTCAAACTTTCTGCTTTCTTATGTACATAGAAAATGCAAAAACTCCGGGAAGCACTCTATACATATATATTGATATAAATCTAAATTTGGTTCAAGCCACTGTGATCTCGCTGCCTCCTCCTCTTTCCGCCATGAAACTCACTCGTTTCTGCAAATCAATAATATTTCAACATTAATTAATAAGCTTATCTCTTGAATATTTGTGTTCCAACTAGCCCAATTCATTTATCCATTTTTTTAATCTTCAAAAGTGTGTTTAAAGTTTTTT